GGATGAAAAATACTGATTAAAACAGTCCGCAATATTTGTGTCTTCAGTTATAACTTGGTCATCTACATTTAGCTGTGTTACACAGGTAGTTTTGGGCTTTTTGTTTAAAAGCTCATTAATAGCCTGCCAACTCTCTTTGTTATTATTTGCATTGGATAACTTCGTTTTAAAGTATTCTTCCTTAGTCTTTTTAATAAGCTTATTTAATTTATTCTTGCATCTTTTGTAGGCCTCATTATAATTACTCGATGTTAAACGAACACTCTGTCTTTTAAGATAATCCCTATGGTGCATTAACCATTTTATTTCTTTCGTCAGCCATGGTTTATGCTCACTCTTAACGCGACGCTGTCTAACTGGCGCGTGTTTTTCAGCAATAGTAAGAAAGTTGTTCTTAAATTCATTCCATAGCACATTTGGACCATTTGATGTGGGATCTAGATTAGTATAGTAGCTTAGTTCTTCTTTAAATTGGTGGGAGTTGTAATTTTTGAACTGTCGTGTAAATACAATTTTTGGTGGCTCTTTAGGAATGCTAATTTTCCGACATATATAAACAAGACTATGGTCACTAATCCCAAGGTCAACAACCCCGGCTTCTAAGGTTTTATCATCGTCGATATGTGTAAGAATTAAATCAATCAGAGACGAAGAATTATAAGTAGTTCTAGTAGGGGTTTGTATGTGTTGCTGCAGTTGGAAAATATCAATAATATCAATTAACTTAGAAGTAGCTTGGTTTTGAGTGTGCTCAATAAAATTACAATTAAGATCCCCGGTTATGATAATATCTTTGTCTTCATTATCAATCAGCTTCAGGAAGTTTTCGAACTTTTGGAATAATTCAATTTTTGCACTCGGTGGTCGATACCAAGTTGAAATAAGCACTGGTTTACTTTTGGGTTTTCTAACTTCAATACAAAGCAATTCGAGAGTATCTTGTAATAAATCTTCACGTACGATATATGGAATGATAGTCCTTATATATATAGCTACCCCTCCCCCATGTCTGTTTCGGTCAGATCTGACAATATCATAACCAGGTATCTGTACTTCACAGTCTAGGAAAGTACTGTCTAATCTAGTTTCATTTAAGGTCAATATATCGAAAGGTTCATCACGCATATAAATAAGTAGTTCTTCATAGTGTTTAGGCAAGCTAGCGATGTTAAGTTGTGCTACTTTGAAACCTTTAAGTTTAGGAAGAGTAGGGTTTGGTTGCTTTACTGGCTTTATTGTATTGGTAACAGGTTGTGGAGGGGGTGGAGCATCGGTAGATGGTCAATTAGGATTTTTTAGATAGTTTGTAAAGTTCTGGGCTAATTTAGCTGTTCCTTGTTTAGAAAGATGGAGCCCATATGGGTTCAAATGTTCAGAGGAAATATTTCTGTGGGTAATGATCTTCCACTTATTATTGGTAAGTTCTGTAATTTTCGTATTCAGACTTGGGTCATCATTTCTTGTAATTACTTTGGAAATAGCGAGATTCGTTGTAGGTAGTTCCTTCTTGATCTGTTGCCCAAGCATGGATATGGCATTTGTTATCTCTTGTGGTGTACTTTGTCTCACGTTGTTTGTACCGACATGCAGAATCAAATGGTCGGGTGTACGGGCCAAAGTAGGTTTAACATAATATTCCATATCACTTACCTTCGCACCTGGAAACGTCTTGATTTGAGTGAACTCTTTCTCAGCCGGCTACATTTTTCACGACAAGCGACATTTTGATTCAATTGTTTTATAACGTAAATATTTCAGCGCGTATTCACCCCCCTTTAAAACAAAGAACACCATTGAAATCCTAACAAAATAACCTTTTCATCGGGGGGTTCAATGCCGCCAAAACAAATACACAAACCGAAACAATCGTATATTTACTCACCGCTTGGCCAAACATTCTGTATTTTCATATGGAGAAAAAGTTGAATATCTTCTAAAGGCATCTAAACTCTTCAGAATTCGCCACAAGTTAATATGAGTGAAATATTCCTTGTATTCAAGCGCTTTTATGTAGAAAGTTTCGTTTGAATACGGCGAGTAGAAATGTTTATTTTGAATTTTTCAAAATATCGGGTTTCATCGGGTTTTTTACTTGCACGCGCGTGCTGCACGTAAAATTGGCCAATAAGGAGTAACCCGTAGCCCAATGCACGTGAAAATCATGCTGCAGATGTAATTTGACCTATAGAATCGATTGCCGACGTTTTCCGAGCGCTAGGATGTAAACACGCGATGTTTTCGCAAATCTAAAGTGTATTTCCGGTCGAAAATATCCCGCTGACTTCACTAGTATCACAACAGATTGAAATACCGAAATAAAAGACGAAAGACTAATCCTACAAGCTTGAAAATAACACTTTAAATAGTGTTTTAGATTCTGGTTCGAATAAGACTATAGCGAAAACGATATCTTCAAAGGGGCCAAAGTTATGTTCGGCGAAAGGTATGGATAGTTTACATTTTTCGAGACAATTGATTAATATAATGAAATATGACACCGCATGACCTCTCAAAAGGTCATAAATAGTTATACAATTTCACTAAAACTATATTTAAATAAAACTATCGATAGGAATTAGGAGATATTGTTTCACTGAATCGAATGGTGGTATTTTCATCTACATAGCATGCACCAAACCGAAGATATGAATCGGCGAAGTCATAGACCGTGCCATAGATCGTGCACGGTCTACGTTTATAGGGACCCGCTGAGAAAGAGTTAACTAGCTATTACAACTATTTTACTGCCCATTATAATGTTCGTAGTCTGCGCACAGACTGTCTCTTCCCCCCCGTGGTGGAAGGATTACAGTCTGCGACCATTTGTCACTAATGCTGTACAGTGACGTAGACGTATAAATAGATATAATATTGTGCACTTCAGCACTTTAATGGCTTTCTAATTTTATTATCCAATCAGGTGCGTTACTTTAAATAAAACTTATATTATGTAAACAAGGTCAATAGACAATAGACAAGGTCAAGCAAAACAATACAACGAAATCGAAATATAAACTCGCAAAAAATATGCCAGTTTTGTAAATTCTACCAAATTTATTCATCCCAAAAGATTAAATGCTCTTTTGTGTGGTAATGTCTTTCCTAACAGCACCCAGAAACATAATGTAATCGGTAAAACCGGTATACTTGTCTCGAAATTAGCTAAGCAAATTTATGCAAGTATAATTTTGAAACGAACCAATGAAAAACTGCCGATCATATTTCGTCGGTAGCTGTACGGCATTAGCGTCGAATGACAGCAGACTGTACTCCCGCGCGGGAGCGGGATGCAGTCTGCGAGCAGACTATAATGTTCGCTGCCTTCGAATAATGATGCATGTAAATTAAGAAGTTTTTATATAAAACTGTTTCAGGACCTCCTCCGCCACCTGCTGGACTTAAAGAGACTGGTAAAACAGATACTAATATTGACATCCGATGGGAAAAACCAAAAGGCCACAGCGCATTCGACATTGATGGATACATGGTTAGTCACAAAACCGACGCCGAAACAAAATACAAGAACCAGATGATTTCGGCGACATCGGGGGTGTTAAATGTAGTATTAACTGGTCTCGAGAGTGATACAATTTACGAGATTACTGTTCATGCTTATAATGATGATGGCGATGGAGATAAACTTAAAATACAAGTCAAAACGGAAAAACCTGATGATTCAAGTAAGTGTCCTGAATGCTTAAAAACCTCTAAGGAAATTATGTTTGTCTTGTCAATTGCGTGCAGTACGTTTAATCATGACACCAATCACGGCTAACCTTATTTGACGCGAAACAAGATGAAAAAACGAATTTCGTCTTTCGACAATATAAGCGCGTCGCCATATTGAATCAAAATGCCATTTTCTTTACAGCTTCAAAAATTTAGTGAGCATTTAATAATAATAAAATAATAACTAATAACTAATAATAACTAATTTAAAAACAATTTGCCATTTCAAGACTATTTGCAATTGTCGTAATAATGACTAATTAATAATAATATACCAATAGGAATGTGTCAATTTACTGAGCCAATGAGTTGGTATCAGAGGCGTAGCCAGGGCTGGGGCCGGAGGGTCCGGCCCCCCCTGGCAAAATTTCCCCCCCCCCCCTTGGCAAAATTTTGCCCCTCATAAAATGTATTGTACTGGTAATGGTACCTGCAAGGTAGGGATTGTTGCGGGCATCAAGAGCAAATAGAACTAACAATAGTACAAATTATATAAAGCATGCAGTTATTACTCGCAGCGAGCAGGAGACTTGTGAGCACTGTGGTCGGAGCATAAGGAATACGGAATCGATTCATGCCATGAGTGTCTGAGAAAAAGCAATGGCCAATGCATTTGTCGCCAAGACTATGCACGGGTTCAAGAGCAATCACAGATTACAGATAGGCGTGTTAATATTAATGTTAATGGAAGTAATATTCACTAAATCATAAGCAAGAATTATATAATATTTTCAAGATCAAGTGGAATTTGTTGAATTTAATTAATACGCGCTGCTTTAGTACGCGTATAAATACAAACGACAAAGCATTCTTATTAAGACGTACAGTTAAATTATATAACACAAGTTTTTGCTATCTGTTTTCATATTATTAAGTCTAATACTGCTAGGCGCACTTACTACATTGTTTACACAGTATTTAACTAAGAAACCAAAACTTTATAATAAATTAAGATATAGAACTTACAGTAGCCAAAGTCCATTGAGTGAACAACGCACGAAGTGCAGTCACGTTATTTTATACACTAAATTATGATGGCCTTTACAAGGCTTATAACGTTACTAAACCTTACGCCGAGTGCCTGAGTCAAAATAATTTACAAGTCGAAGCAAGCAAAACAATTAACAATTATTCGCCGAAGGCGAGGTGATTATCGGGGAATATTCGCCGAGACGAAGTCGAGGTGAATATTCCCCGATAATCACCGAGCCTGAGGCAAATAATTGTTTTAGTAGCTTTGCACAAGTTTTTTTTGTGTTTTTCTTGTCTGAATTCATTTTAATTTCGCTATTTCTTTATCACTAACCTCAACAAAACGGCTAGCCGCCATTTTGAAAATTTCGATTTTGTTATATTCACCTGCATGCATGTAGGTGAATATAACAGATTTAATACGTCAAATTTGACCAATCACCTTGTAGGGTTTGTTATGTCCACTTAAACGATATCCTTCAAATACGCCTCAAATATTGTATGTCGACCACAATACAATTGGCTAACTAAAATTTACTTCAAAACCCTCTCTCTGCGCATATTAGAACGCTGCTATGCTCGCTCGCTTCAGGCTCGCCCGTTACGCAGCAATAAGAAAGTGAATCCTTGATTATATAGCTTCAAGTTGAGACCCGTCGGAAAATTGTCAATGTTGTCGGAATCTTTGTGGTGAAGCATCGGAAAAAGTGATATGGAAATCGGGAAAAGTGCTACGAAAGCAATTGTGATGTCCGGAAAATTTTTTTACCAAAAAAGGTGTCGACGGGGTTGGTCGGAGAGATTTAAAATGTTGTCGTCCGGGAATTTTTTGGCCCCACCTGGGTTTTTGCTGGCCCCCCTGACCAAAAATCCTGGCTACGCCTCTGGTTGGTATGACCACTGTTTGCGAATCAGAAAATGGGAATCTTTTTAATTGTTAAATAATATTTTAGATTAACCATTAAATTTGAAATTATTTTCACAGCTACGGTGGTTATTGTTGTTGTTGTTGTTGTCATCGCGATCGTGCTACTTCTTATCGTTGCCATGGTAGTTTTCTTTTTTCTCAGGAAACGAAGACATCGGTATGAGGTATGTTGAAAATTCTAATATTCACATGGCCTTGGTAAACAATGAAGGGTTGAATGAGAAAATGAAAACTTGATTTATACAGACGACTTTGCTTAAGCTTATATAGTCAAACAAAATCATTGTATACTAGTGATTATGTACGGTGAATGGAGGATTTGCCACTAATCTGAAAATAAAAAAAAGATTGAGAAGTTAATGTGTTACACATGGACCCAGGAGATTGCCTTCGGTGAAAAACCGTTTGGGTTCGGTTTTGACAGATTAATCTTTCCTGGGGTTGAATTTTCAGATAAATCGTTTATTTTGCTTAATTAACGGTAAGGGTTTGGGTGCAGGCGGTCGTGGTTCACATATATGGCAATTTATTAAAGAGAGTGAGATACTGAAAAATACGCAGTGACATATTTACCATATCTTCACTAGTGAGGATAT